TTCCAAAGAAAGGGTGTGCTGCTTCTTTAGAAGTTTGAAAGCTGCCATTCTCTGCCAACTCTTGACTTTCCGGGTACGGACACTGAAGTGGGAATGAAGTGCTCAGGGTCCCGGAGGTTGTGACCAACAGACACTGGAGGTGCGGCAGGTGCCTGGACTGGAAGCTGGGAGCCCTTCCCTACCCCTCCACAACGGCCAGATGGGAAAACAGCGTTTCTGCTTCACACGCTTTCACGCCACCTCTTGGGGATCCTCTAGCTATAGACGAGAGACGTCTGGAAGCACGGCAACGTCTCCGGGTTTTCCACGTCTCCCCTCTCACCTCACACATCTCTGGCACGACTGCCAATCTGGCTGCCTCTACACGTGTCAGCGGAAGCTCCCTGGGCAAGGCGCCCGCACCAGCCTGGGCCCACGGCAGGTGTAAATCAAACAGAGGAAAATCTTGATAATTGGACGACGAGGGAGACGGTGAACAACTTACTACGGAGAGGAAAACACTTATCTATGTATTGACTCCCCCTAGAGTGAAATAGATTTGCACACAGGCAAAATTCTATGAAGTTTTTTAAGGGCACGTCAGTGTCAGAGAGTAAACGGACCCTTGGTGTCCTCACTGTGAGGGCCGCCCCCAGGATCGGAACAGCAGCGTCTCACTCTCTGTGCTTCTTGGAATAATGTTATAACGTTGTACTCCATCCACTCCCTCCAAGATAAAGGGATAGTCTGATACGCGTCCCCATTTGGGTGGGGCCAACCTCTTTCTCCTGTTAGGGCTCGTCGGTGTGAGGCTAAAAACAGCCCTTTGGTTGACTTGTGGGTAATTGATTCTCTGACGCTGACAACACTTAGGGAAATGAAGGTATAAATGACGGCAGCGCCGCGCAGCCACGGAAGAAGACTGGAGCGGCGCCTCATAGTAGAGGGAGACCTGCCACATCTCAGGGGAGAGGGGGCAAGAGAGGTGACCTTCTCGCCAACTCGGAAACACCAAGTCAGAGAGACCCACTACCACCCTCTTTGCCCGTGGACTGGTGAGTACATTTAGGCGCCTCGTTAGGGACTCTGCAACATTCCTGGCGATGGTTGGTGTCATGTTGAGCTTGTTGGGGGTGTGCGGCACCTCGGCCAGTGGAGAAGTGGCAGGCAGATAGGCATCTCGCTGGTGTCTGTCGGAGGCGGGTGAGGTCTCAGTGCTCCTTCGAACATGTGCAGACAGGCTTCTGGGGCGAGATGTGAGCTGGCTAGATTCTCCTGTTGACAACGGGATGCTGCCGTGGAGCGGCAAGGAGCCAAGCGGCTGTGCGCATCAATACTGCGCATCGATCGCTGAGACCCAATTCCACATAATTGCCTGGAAATTGATAACATTTCGCCTTCTTGCTCAATTGCAGCTGCGCTCACCCGTCTAGGTTTTAGACACAATTACCTGCCTCAACCCAGACTGGAAGGACATGGGGTGTCAGTCTCTTGAGTGACAATTCAGGACAAGTCCTCATTAAAAACTTAGATCTCGACCTGGCTGGTGTAGCTCAGTGGATTGAGTGTGGGCCTGCGAACCAGACAATTGCGGTTCAATTCACAGTCAGGGCACATGCCTGGGTTGCAGGCCAGTTCCCAGCAGGGGACGCACGAAAGGCAACCGTACATTGATGTTTCTCCTCCTCTCTCCTTCTCTTCCCCTCTAAAGATAAATAAAAATCTTAAAAAAAAACACACAACAACTTAGATCTCCTGAGACTTGGAACACTGTTGGCAAAACAGTCTATAAACTGGGACCAGGGTCCTTAAGTTACAAAGCAGAATATGTGAGAAACATACAGCGTTTTTCTCCTTAGGTGTTCAAAAGAGGCCTCAGTGGTTTGAGCCCTTGAGACCTGACCTTTTCATTAGCCGAAGGCACATCCGCAGGATTCTCGTGGCATTTTTGGCCTGAAGGCTGGCGAAGGTGCCAGCTGATGTAGATCGATGCCCACTTACCCTGAATCCAGACGACCTCACACATATCTAATCACGGAATTAGTTTGTAAGCACTGTGGAGAGCTAACTGCTCCCCATAATGAGAGAGAAAAGACCCTAAAATGCCCCTCGAGCCATCCAGTTGTTGATGATGCTGTTGAATCTGCGCTGCACTTAAAGCAGTGAATTCTAGCTTCTTAGGCTGGTCACATGGAAAGTGTCTGTCAACAGCGCTTTCATCCTTGGTGACACAACCTCTATTCTACTCACAGACTAAGCGGGACAATTCTCATTGTTTCTCATCTTTGTCCAGTGGGATTTTCCAACCCCTGGATGGGGTCTTCGTGGCCCAAAGGTTCCAGTGGTGTCCGACCCATCCCTGGGGCACTTGGTTTATGGCAAATGCTACGCCTCTTGGTTGACCAGACCACACAGTTGCTCAGCGTCATTGTGAATGAGCAGGGAGTTACTGGATTTCCTATGACTTGCTCCCCAGATCTGCCCTCTTACCAGGTTATTTTCAACTCCCTAAACCACCACCTGTGCATAGGCGTGTGCCAACCAAGCAGGCGTTCCTGTTTGTCCCCCTTTTTTCTTTCCCAGACACCTGGTGGCAAAGAGCGAAAGCTTTTCGTTTCCCCAGACCCGTTTCCCAGTTTCCCAGGTGCAGGTGATGAATCCTGGAGCGCCCCATGAATGGGGAGTGCTGTGAATAGGGTATTGTATCGGGAGGCGGCTGCCCGGAGCAGGCGGAAGTCGGCCGGCCTGGGAATCGCCAGGCCCGTTCTGAAGTGCACGCTCCGAAACTAATTTGATGGAGGACCATGGGAAAAGGCCCTTCTCTTTGGGCTTGTTTCCTCAGCTATAAAAGGAAGATTATGATACCTGCCCCCGAGGGCGAGTGTGAGGGTGGGCTGTGTGGGCCAGGAGGGCACAGGGGCTGGGAACCGCTTGTTCCAGCCCCTCCAGCCCCTGGAGAAGGTGCAGGAGGTGGGGAGGCCAGCGGAGGGCTTATGCCAAGAGCAGGGGTTTTGGCTTCGTTCTGGAGGGGTTGGGGGGCTGAGGGCTTCTGAGCAAGTGAGTGGGGTGTTTAGGGGCCTAGATGTGCTCAGGCCTTTAAAAGATCGGCCCCGAAGAAGATGAGAAAGCCCAGGCTGCAGCTGGGAGATAGAAAACAGAGTGGTTGTGTGAAGGGGTCCTCCTTGCCTCTAAAGATCTACCTGCTTAGGAAACTCCAGTGGTGGGCCCCGTCAGGGAAGGGGAGTCACAGGTGATACGGTATGATGAGGAGGACAGAAGACGGAAGGTACTCAGTTTGGGGATCAAAGACCTAAGCTAGATGCAAAACACAAGCTTTCGTGTGGATGCAGGTGCAGGAGCTGTGGGTGGCATGATGGGTGGACACCACAGGGGCAGCCTTTGGGGGCAGATACCACGTTCTCCTCTTTTCTCTAGCCCAGCCCTTACCAGAAGCTTAACAAGTATTTGCAGGATAAGGGCACTTGGACTTGACTCAATAAGAAAAACTTCCTAACAAGAAAAGCTGCCTGGAAATAGGACAGACTTGCTTTAGGTAGTGAGCTCCCTGTCATTCACTGGCAACAACTGTTGGAGCAGGAACTGAAGAATTGCCTGGGTGTAGGGTCGAGGGAGGGTGTACATCCAGGAAGGACTGATGACTGAGGCCCGGATGGTGGCTCCCTCCAGCTCTTGAGGTGTGGGGGTCTCGCCTGCATGGAGCTGCCGCATGTGCTTCCTTGGGTTCAAGGCATCCCTGGGTCAGCACCCAGTGTCCCGAAGAAGTGAGGTGATGCCCCGAGAGAGCAGGTGAGCCCAGGAAGGGAAGGTGGATTCTGCCCATGCCGATTCTGCTGGCCAGGAATCCCTCCTCAGCAGGACCAGGGTGGGAAGTGGAGCAACAAGGGGCGGTCACGGGAAAGGAGGGGTCCGGCCCTCCCTGGGACTGGTGGGGCTTCTGGACAGGTCTGCATCCCCATGGGGTGGGTGTCCTGCTGAAGCGGGTGGGGGGCGGGCATGGGAAGTGGGAAGACCCAGTTAGTTCCTAGGTGCCTGACTCACACCAGGACCAGTCTGTGTTGACAGCGGTGGCACCTTCCCAACAGAGGAGGGCTCTTTCCCTGTTGTCTGTTCTTTCTCTAATTGCAGAGTGCAAGCCCCAATTAAGGGTAATTACGTGATCTATGAGATAATTCTGCGGCCTGAGCTCCCCACGTTCCCTCCTCTCTTCCAGGACTCAAATTCTTTGGTGAAACCTAAGCGTCTGGAGCAAGATTTATAGCCTTCCCTTCCCTCCGACTCCACGCAAAGCTAAAACAGCTCCTGACTGATACGGCTACCCGAGCAGGTCTAATACTAGATCTTCACGGCAAAAGTGGGTGGGGAATTCCTCACTTCTGAACCACAGGTGCTCCGTTTCACCTAATGCTCGTGAGGACCCTCTGCAGTAGACATAGTTATCGATTCCATTTTATGGATGGGAAAACTAAACTGGGGCCCAGAAAGGAGAAGCCACTTGTCCTGGGATGCACAGCCAGGGACAGCAGAGCCTGATGGTGGACTCGGGTTTGTTTGACTCAGGGCCCGAGCTGTTAGCCCTGCTCAGTACCATCAGTGCCACTCGGGGTTGGGGGTGTCTTGGGAGAGACTAAGGGAAGGGGTTCACTCCTGCCGTATTTCTTACTGCAGCCTGGACTCCATGTATATGCCTCACAGGTAGGGGCAGTTTCACCATTATCTTTAATCTACTGTTCAGCCCTATGAAGTATGCCCATTTTACAGACGGAAAAAATGAGGTCAAGGCTCGTGACTGGCAGAGGCAGAACTGGAACCCAGGTCTATCTGACTTCCAGAGTTTGGGCTCTTTTTCCTACCCCACACTTCCAAAGGACAAAGGACCACAGCCTGCACGGATCCACGTCCACAGCTGGGCCCACCCAGCCAGCAAAGAACATCTCTGTGGCTGTGGCTACAGCTGGCCTTCCCTCCTGTCGTTTTTCCAGGTGCCACCACGAGAGTGAAGGATGCTGCTCTGGGTGTTCTTCCTCATGATCCTAGCCTTCAGCAGTGGCTCCCACTGCTCCTTGCCCTCCCCGACCCTCAGGTAAGCAGTCCTGCCGACAGGGCTTGGGTTTCCGCTGCCCCCAAACCATTCCTGCTGGAGGAGGGGTGCTAGGAGGATGCAGCATCAAGCCATTGGCTGGTCTCAGCCACCTCTTCAGGCAGCCCCCACTGCCCATCACCGGCAGGGGGCCAGACCTGAGCCTGTCCAAGGAAGCTGTCCAGCCCAGGTTCCATCTGTCTCTGGGGATGAGCAGGGCCAAGGGCAACACAAGGGCTTACAGAGACCTGGTGAGTGCAGCTAGCTACCTTGGTCCCCTCATGGGGGCCCACCATACCACCCTTTGACCTTTGACTCCTCCCGTGCAGGATGCCACGGTATGCCGACACCATCTTCATCAACAGCTTCCGGAAGGTGCTGGCCCAGCTGTCTTCCCGCAAGAAAGTCCAGGACGCCATGAGCGGGCAGGAGGGGTGAGCAGAGGTTCTTGGGATTGTTTTCTATGCTGCAAGTACATCAGTTGGGAGGGACCAAGTTTAGCTTCTTCCTCTGCACAGCATCTGCCATTTCTGCACTTGGCAGAGCAGAAGGACCTGGATGTCAAAGCTCAGCTTACCTCTCGCTATTAAATGATCGTTGAATGCCTGCGATGTGCCTCTCCCTGTGCTAGGATCCAATACTAACAATACTGAGGCTAGTTACCAGTGGACCTGGACTCTGTGCCAGAAACGAAGGCTGTACATTGGGACATTTACGTGCCCCTGGCACCACGCTGGACACAGCGATACCTTGTTGTATTAGCCATTACTCTTCATTTCTTGTTTGCTCTTCCTAACGAGCCGAGAAAGTTGGACTCTCACCCCATTGGTCAGAGCCATTAGTAGCTTCTGAAGGACACACACCAAAGACCCAAAGACTGGCAGAGCCTGACTCCACAGCCTGCACATTTTGCAGTTTTCATTTTGAAAAAATTCCAAATTTACAGAGAATTTGCATCAGTGGTACCAAGGACTTCCACATACACTTCCCTGTGTTCAACAATTCCTAATATTTTATCATACTTGTCTATGCTATATCTACACCTAGATAAAGATCTATCTATACATACGCATGTACACACTTACTAATATTATTATTATTCTGCTAAACGACTTGAGATTAAATCGCAGTCACCATGACCCTTTACCCTTAAATGCTACTGCGGGTATCTCCCAATGTCTAAAGAAAGGACATTGTCTTACATAATCACAGTATAATTATCACTTCATGTCCTTTTTAACAATCATTTCTTTTCCTGAGTCAGTCGTCATGTCCCTCCAGTTTCTCTCAATCTGGAACTGTTCCTCAGGTGTTCACGCCGTTGACATCTTGTTTGGTGACAGCCAGTTGTTTACAGAGTGTCTTCACACTGGAGTTGCCTGATGTGTCCTCGTGGCGGATGCAGGCTCTGCGACAGAAGTGATGCGGTGTTTTCTCAGTGTGTATGTCAGGCAGCGCACGAGGTGGATTTGTCTCGTTGCTGGTGACAGTAACTTTGATAACTTGGTTAATGTGGCGTCTGCCAGATTCCTCCTCTGTAAATGAATATTTTTCCCTTTGTCATTAATAATCAGTCTGTGGGGAGGTATTTTGCAAATGGCTATTTCAGAGCCTATTCTCTTACTACATACTCATCTATTCTGCCTTCCTGCGTGTTGTTGAATCTAATTCAGCTGGGCGGAAGCTTCCATACCTGGTATCAGAAGAGGCCCAGGGACACTCCCTGCTCTGCTCACTTTGCCTTGCTTGGCCATTCCCAGGCCTCTCCACGTCCTAGCCGAAGAACAACCTCAACTGTTTCTCTTTCTAATCAGAGAGAGAAACCAGGAGCAAGCAGCAAAGGCACGGCTTGGCCGCCAGGTAGACAGCATGTGGGAAGACCAAAAGCAGCTGGCCTTGGAGAGCATCCTGGTGGCCCTGGCGAGGAAGCACAGGTAGGAATACGTGTAGTTGTGTGTGTGTGAATGACATGTGTGCATATGTGTATTTAGGAAGCTCGGAGGCTTCCTTCCCCGAAGGTCAGCAGGAAGAGGAAAGAGTCTCCCCCTCTCCAAAGGCGTGCGGCTCTGCCCACCCCTCCTTGCCCACGTCAAGAACTGCAGCAAAGGGAGAAACTGTGAGACAGCGACGAGATCTTATCCGCTGCTGTATCTCCAATGTGCAGCAAGAGGCCAGGCTCGGCGTCTGCAGCCCAAAACTGCACTGTCTCAATCGTTCTGGGATAGGCCCCGGAACCTGAATTTTCACAAGTGTCCCGAGGGTTCTGCTGGGCAGAATCTGAGAGGCGTGCCCTGGGTCCCTTGCCAAGTCCGAATAACTATAATGCCGAAGGAAGACCGGCCCCACCCGGCACCCTCGGGTAGACCAGCGTGAGCTGCCCTCGTGTGAGGAAGAGGTGCAATGACAGTCACTGTCCGTCTCAGTGACCCTCACGTTCCCATGGGGAGTCAGGGGAGATCAGGAATGAGTTTTCCCATCTTACGGAGGAGGGGAAACTGAGGCAAAGACGGGGCAGCAGCTGGCTTCAAGTCTGGGGCTGGTGGGCCCCACCAAGGCTGCTCTGCCTCTCGGAAGCTCCTTCACAGGAGGTCCACGTAACGGACGAAGTTTCCCGAGAACGGCACAACTGGAGGGGCTCTGCTGTGGCTTGGAGGCCGATTTTCAACTGTGAGCCCAAACATGTCCCAGCACGACTCTGCCAGGCACTTCTGGGCCCATTAAGCAAATCCAGTTCCCAACGGAACTCTCCATGTGTTCCCTCGCCTTCTTCCCAACCTAATTAGACACCAAGAGCTCGGAGATCTCACCAGCTACAAGCCTGTGGAGATACAAGCAGCAAGCAGCCGGCTGCTGGGCAGCTAGGCTGCTGGGGGTGGGGGGTGAGAACCAGGCTGGGGGGCAGGATGTACACCTGGGCCCCAGTCTCATCCTGTGGCCACTTCACTGTACACGACACGCAGGTTTCCTAGCTTCCTCCCCCATAAAGGCAGGGGGCTAGCTCTGTCTACCTCTAAGGTCCCCGAGGCCTCTAAGTGTAATGTCTACCCTGTGCCTCTCACACTGGGATTAGGTCGTCATTCACCGTCTTTGTGGCTCCCACCAGGCATCGGTGGGGTGCAGTGGCCCCAAGGAGGGCCACCTCCTGAGATGGCAGGCTTTGGTCCTGCAGGTTAAAAGGCACAGGTGTCACAGAGCTCCAAGTCCCAGAACAGTAGGAAAGGCTCTGGAGGCTGTTATAGCACATTGTCGCCCCTCCAGCTCAACTGCTGCAAATACCGTTTCACTGGGTGTCACTGGGGAGCAAACAGAAACTCAGAGTGCATTCTTGCACCTTGGGGATGCAGAGTGAAGTGATCTGCCACATGGCACGCTTCTGTACCCACCACGCTCGTGTGCGCCCAACAGCCCTGGACCGTAACTGAGGTTCGGATTTGTGTGTCCTCCTGCCTCTTAAAAGTCATCCAATGGCTTTTAGGTGCCAAGCTCTGGGCTGAGGGTGCAGCAGTGGTCCTTGCTGGCATGGCACTCACGATGCACCAAGGCAGACAAAACTTAAACAAGTCCTTGTATGGCAGGTTCTTTAGCTTGTGATAGATGGTAAGAGACGTGACAGGTGTGGTGAGGATGTGCACCGGAAGGAATAACCTAATCTAACCCTGTCTGGGGATTAGAGGCGACTTCAGGCGGAAGTGACCAGCCTGGGATCTCAGTGGGGGTGAGTTAGCAGAACTGGGGCTAAGAATGAGGTTCTTCTTCTTCTTATTATTATTATTATTATTTAGATTTTTTCAACAACAGTTGACATACATATTATACTAGTTTCTGTTGTACAACAAAGTGATTAAACATTTATCAAATTAATGAAGTGATGACCCCGACGAGTCTAGTACCCATTGGACACCATTAATGGTTATTGCGATATTATTAACTATATTCTCTATGCTGAAGCTTACATCCCCATGGCTGTTTTTCTAACTGGCAATTTGTTCTTCTTAATCCTTTTGCCTTTTTGTCCCACCCACCCCCAACCTCCTTCCATCCGGCAACCATCAATCTGCTCTCTGTAACCGTCTGTACCCACCGGTCTCTCGGTGGAAGTGCTTGTAGCACTTCCGTTGCTTCCGTATCTTGGCTATTGTAAGCAATGCTGCAGCGAACATAGGGATGAGTGTATCTTTTCGAATTAGTGTTTCAGATTTCATCAGGCGTGGGATTGCTGAGTCATGGGGTAGTTCTACTTTTAATTTTTTGAGGCCCCTCTGCACCGTTGTGCACAGTGACTGCACCGATTTACAGCCCCACCAACAGCGCACCAGTGTTCTCTGCTCAAAAATGAGGTTCTCTGGGGACCAGACAGCCGTCCCGACCCGGTCGTGCATCACCCTGGTTCCGAGTGTCCCTGCCCCAACGCGCCCCCTCCTCAGTCCCTGACGGAGCCTTTTCTTTCTTTCCGCAGCAGGAATTCCCAGGGATGAAGAGTCTGCTGGTGCCTGATGCTGCCGGCAGCCAAAACACAACGGCAGCCACTTAATCCTATTTAATTTTTGACCTCCTTTTCCCTTTGTAAATACAATAAAATTCCCCTATCCTGGCCTGCAGTCCGGTTTTCTTTTATCTTCAGCCTAATTTTTTACGTGGTTGACATAGTTACATTTCCCAAAGTGGTATTACAAGGCGTAAGAAAAAATAGCTAACATTTACTGGGCACTCAGTGTACTGGCTGGGCCGCTTCATGCCTGGAATCTCATATACGCCTCGCGCAGCCTAGCGGGAGGAACCGGCGTCCTTCTCATTTTGCAGACAAGGAACCGAGGCACAGAAAGGCTACCTGGAGCACCACAGGCATAGCCAGCAGGAGAGGGCTGGGATTCAAACTGAGGCGGTTCAGCCCAGGACCAGCCTCTTAACCATATTCTTCTGCTCTGCACCAGATGAGCAAGTTGGTGACTTGCTCATCTATGAGCCAAACCACTTATTCATTCAACAAATATTTATAGAGTACCCACTATGTGCCAGGCACTGGGAATACAGTCGTGAACAAACAGACAAAGCCCCTGACCTCACAGAGCTTATCTTCAACTGAGGGGAAGACCTGGTTGGTGTGGCTCAGTGGACTGAACGTGGGCCACACGATTTCGGTTCAATTCCCAGTCAGGGCACATGCCTGGGTTGCAGGCCAGGTCCCAGCAGGGGGTGCATGAGAGGCAACCATACATTGATATTTCTCTCCCTCTCTCCTTCCCTTCCCCTCTAAAGATAAATAAATAATTTTTTTTAAATTAGGGGAAGAGTAACAAAAAAACAAGTAAATATAGAATGTGCCAGATGGTGGCCATTACAAAGGATAAAAATTTAAGGGGGTGGAGCCCAGACCAGGTGGCTCAATTGGTTGGAGCATTGTCCAGTGTGCCAAAAGTGTGTGGGTTTGATTCCCAATCAGGGCACATACTCAGGTAGTGGGTTTGATCCCAGGTCTCTCTCTTTCTCTAAAATCAATAAAAACACATCCTTGGGTGAGCATTAAAAAACAATGTACGGGGATGCGAGTGCTGGAGGGTGTTCTTTAATCTATAATGTATATATGTGCTGTGTAGGGCGCAGGGAGGGCCTCATCGGTAAGGTAACATTTGAGTAAAGGCCTGAAGGAAGCAGGGAACTGGCCTTGTGAATATCTGGGTAAAGAACATTCCATGCGGAGTGAAGACCCAAAGGTCCGGAGGCAAGAGTGGGTTAGGAGGACGCGGGAGGAAGTCAGAGTGGCTAAGAGAAAGAGGGTGTGAGGGGAGAAGGGGGTCCCGACAGAGCAGGGGGCCGGCTCGTGAGGACCCTGGGAGGCCACGGTAAGGACTTGGGATCTCATCCTTGGTGAGACAGGAGCCATCCCAGAGTCTAAGTAAAAGAATCACATGATCTCACCTCTCTAACACCACATTCTGGTCGTGTTCTGGGTACATTTTTAGGGTACCATGCGTTTGCTGGTGGCTGGGGTGTGGGGATTGGAGAAGAGTCGAGAGTGAGTCCCAAGGTTTTAGCCTGAGGAACTGGAGGATGGAGTTGCCATTTAGGTGCTTTGGGGGAAGAGTTAGGGGATGGGTCAGGCACGCAGAGTCTGAGACGCTGTTAAAGGTCCGAGTGAGGATGAGGAGCAGGCACCGGGGTTTACAGACTGGAGACTGGAGTCAGGAGAGCGGTCCGGGCAGCCCGTTTGGTTTGGCAGTTGTCACCATCTAGAAAAGTGAGTGAGGCTGCCAGGGAATAAGTACACGAAGAGTGGAGGAGAGGCCCAAGGACTGACCCTGGGGCGCCCCCCATTGGTGTTTGGGGAGAAAGGAGAGGAGCCAGCAAAGAAGACTGAGGAGGAGCAGACAGTGAGCTGTTGGGAAAACTGTGAGAGCGAGAAATTCCCGAAGCCAACTGAAAAAAAAGTGTTTCAAGAAGAAGGGCGTGACCTGCGGTACCAGGTGGTGCTGGTGGGTCAAGTTGCTTGAAAAGTGACCACAGAAGTGACCACGGAAGCCACTGATGACCTTGGTGAGGACAAATTGGGTGGAGAGGTGAAGGCAAAAGTCTGACACAAGGGGGTTCGAGAGCAAATGGTAGCAGAGGAGTCCCAGCCAGCCACCTGGCTGACCAACACGGTGGCCACTAGCCACAGGTGGCCACGGAACCCCTGAAATGTGGCTGGTACGTGCATCGCGTGTGACAGAGACACTGCATTCCAAAGACGATATGGAAAAAGGATATAAAATATCTCCAAAAAATTTGGTACTGATTACATGTTAACATAATAGTTTGGATATATTGGGTTAAGTAACATTAAAAATAATTCCACCTGTTTCTCTTTTACTTTTTTATTGTAGTTACTAGAATATGTTGAATCTTTGGCAGAGATGACTCTCGGTTTTTCCTGTAAAAGGAAACTGGAGGGAGCTGGAGGGACTGACCAGAGGAAGCTGTGTCTGCGATTGCTCGACCTTTTCTATTGGTGAACCGTTTCCTCTGGGCCAGGTACCACCCCCGCCCCCCCCCCCACCAGCCCCACCCACGCCTCTTAGTAGAACCTGGGAACCTGTGAGGGGAATCAAAATGCTCTGTATTTTGAGTTGGATGACGGTTATACCGGTGTCGTTAGATGTAAAAATTCATTGAGCTGCACACTTGAACACTTTAAGACTTTGTACATTTTACTGTATGTAAATTAAAATTTTTTTAAAGGATTTATTTTTTTTTAAGATTTTATTTATCTTTAGAGGGGAAGGGAAGGAGAGAGGGAGAGAAACATCAATGTATGGTTGCCTTTCATGTGTCCCCTGCTGGGAACTGGCCTGCAGGGAACCAGTGTGTGCAACCCAGGCATGTGCCCTGACTGGGAATGGAACCGCAATTCTCTGGTTCACAGGCCCGTGCTCAATCCACTGAGCTACACCAGCCAGGGCAAAATTTAAAAAAAAAAAAAGATGATAAAATGTCTATTTGGATACAAAGCTGAAGTCACAGCGGTTTAGAGCTGGTGGGGACTCAGAGACGTGCAACGCCAGCCCGTCACTTTCCAGCTGGGACACACAGTGCCACGCACCTGTCTCCCAGCACCAGGACGAAAGCCACCTCAGTTGGTCACAGGGTTCAGACCACCTGCTCTCTCTGGGAGCCCAGTTTACCTTCCAAGAAAGGATGAGAATCGTGGGAAAGGTTCGACGGGTGGGGGGGGGTCTCCATGGTGGCAGGCAGAGGAGACAGTAGGAACAATGGGGAACAGAAGCCCCCTCCGGATAATGAGGCAGGCCATCGAGGGCAGGCAGTCCGCCCCAACCAAGAGGCCCGGGCTGCTGGGCCTCGAAGAACCTGCCAAGGAACAAAGGAGGGGACTGCTGAATGCGGGGCACCTGGGCCTGCTCTGTCCCCCGGACCCACCTGCTCGTATCTTTCCTCCACCCCACAAAAGCAAATACCTAAGGCTCCCTCAACTTCCAATTCGTTTGTCAAATGAAATAACAACCACCGGGACCTGCTGCTACTTGTGGTTTTAGAGGTGAATGCAATGATAAAGGCAGAAACCACGATGGCAATGATTCCGGTGCTTCATCACCATTAACCACGACACTAATGGAGTCTTAAAAGACTTAATCCCTCTCCACAGAGGTGCTGGGAGCATCCCATCCCATGGGGGGACCTAGTTAAAACCAAGTGCTATTTTTCCCCCTAAAGAAAGGCTCTAATCAATGGGAGACTCATCACTTTTAATAATAACCCTTTCGTTTGCATTAAAGTTCACAAAGAGGTTTGCCCTGCAGTGCTTCACCTGCTCCCCACGACAGCCCCCTGGAGAGAGGCAGGGCAGGGTGCCAGCCTCCCGGAGGGGTGAGAGGTCAGGCAACTCAGCCAGGTCCTACAGTGGAAGGAGCGAAGTCGGGAAGGGAGTCCTGATTCCAAGACTCCAGGCCCCTCAGGAAACGTGAGCTGGGAATCAAGTAAATTAAAAGGGCAGACACACATGGACGTGAGACGAACTGTTTCCTGGGCTCCTGCTGACAACGCAAAGGAAGTAATAGTAATACCTACACTAATCAGAGTGAAGCAAGTCCACGTTGAGTGCCAGGCATTGTGTGGTATGTGCTTTGGGTGTGAGCTCATTTCATCCACAGAAAGCCCTCAGAGGTAATATTATCCCCATTTTTACTGACAGAAAACTGAGGCCCAGAGAGGTGCCTAATGACACACAGCAAATGAGGGCATTCAGCGCAGGTCAGCTGGACTCTAAACTGCTGTGCTCAGTACTCCTTCGAGACAGCCCAGTGCAACTGTGGTGTCAAAGAAAAACCAGAGATGCACCGTAAAGCGGTTAAATCAGATCCCATTCAGGACTATTGTAACGGGGAGAGATGTCCGTGTAGGGCGTGGCTCAATCCCCAGTGCTGCACGGGCAAGTCAGAACTCACAGTCCAGGCGCAGGGTGGGGATCAGGGGGTGAAAACTCATGAAGAGGAAGTATCGCAGGTCAGTGGGATTCAGGCCAAACCCACCAAACAGGATTCTTGCTGAAGGCAGGCCAGGACGATCAGATGTCACCTGGGGAATGGCGGAGGCTGAGGCACCCGATCACGTGTGGAGGTGATCAGATCTGGACAGTGGGGGGTTCTGGTTAAACTGACTCAGCAGGGTTCTCGCTAAAACTAGATTTCACAAGGCAGTGCACAGATGGACCTAGAAGGTCTGGGAGTCTGGCTGAAGTTTGGCCAAGCAAAGAATCTTTGTCAGTGGTGAATAATGTGAGCAACAAATCCAGTAGCTTTCCATAGCTCCAGGCTCCAGGCTGCTGTGGGCAGCTTGCGGCTTCCCAGATTCTCCCCAGCAGCCTTGCTCGGGGGCAGAGCTAAGTGCTCACCCAGAAGTTTCACTGGTGGTGGAGGGGCCAGGCAGGTGAGCCTGTGAGGTGAACTCTTGCCTCTGCTATATTCCAGCATCATATTCAAGTTCCCTAAAATTTGTTATTGCTCCTAAAATAAAATCTAATCCCTTCACCATGGTCCTTAAAAGCCAGATTTGCTCAGGCTTTTGAGGGTACACTCCTCCTTGCTACCTACACCCCAGTTGTGCTGGCCTAATTTCAGTCCAGATACATCAAGATCTTGCCTCAGAGCCCTTGTATATGTTAATCCTCTGTTGGGAGTCCTCTTCCCAGCTCCGCCACGGCTCCTCCCTGGGTGTCTGCTTGGCTTTCCCAACCCCTCCAGGTAAACGCTGCTTCCTTTGCGGCCCTTCTAAGGTTCACAATCACTTCACTCCTTTCCCTGTCTCCTCCAGGTTCTAAGGGGACCAAGGACAGGGAGTCCGTCTGTCTTGCTCCCTGCGCTGGTTTGGAGCCAGCCCGGCACAGAGCCAATGTCTGCTGTTGCTCCATTCTCCAGCACCCTCTGGGTCTGCAGAGCAGCCCTGACCCAGCCCTGGCGCTCCTCCCCCTGGCCAGCCCCTTCTCCAGGGAGCTGCCTCCTTCCCTGCAGCCACTGCACTTCTGTCATCAGACCCCAGTTCCCCTTCTCCACACCACTGCCACCAGGCCTCATCCGGTCTGCCTTCCAGAAGTCTGCAGGTGTAACCAGCACAGGGGGGCGGGGGGTGGGGTGCTGCCCCTGCTCACATCCCTTCCACACCACTCAGCTGAGGCCCCAGCAAACATAAAGGACACCAGAAAGGTGGGCTAAGCTAAACATATTTTAAAAGCAAGGCTTCCACTCATGAGTCCGCAGGAGTGAAGCGGGCAGGAGGAACAGCATGTGTGGTGGGAGGACTAACACCGTGCGGGGAAGGGTCACCTCCAGAGTAGGCACTGCTATTGTAGGTCCAGCAGATTGTTGCCAACTCTGAATCCAATGCTCCAAGCCTAGATTTTTATACGAAATTTGTTTGTAAATGTTAGCTACTAACAAAGAAAAAAAAACCACTGGGTCAAATACAGAATATGTATGGCCACCAGCCTGCACCCTCTGGGAAGCTGCGGCCTCCTTCGCAGTTCAGAGGCAGCCCTCCAGCTGCCCGCAAGGCCCTCTTGCCTGCAGAAGCCCATTCAGAACCAGCGCAGAGTTTCAGGGTCTCCATTCGCTTTCCCCCAACCCAAACTCCGATTTCCTCACTGTGGGGACGTCCAGCTCGGAAAGCAATCTGAATAAAATAACCTGTACCCCCAATTCCGTACTGTTAGGATCAGCCACGTTTTGAAAGTTATCTAAATGTATTGGTTATGTTTCAATTACAAGAATTAGGGGGACTTCCGCCAAGATGGAGGCATAGGTGGATGTGCCGTGCCTTCTCACACAACCAAGTTTAGAGACAACTAAATATTAGCAACAGAAAACACAGCCAGAACACGGAAAATTGAACTTTTCGGAAGTCTGTTAACAACAAATTCTTCAGCCTGACCAGTAAGGGGCGAAACCAGCGGCTGGTGAAGCGGGGTTGCACAGGAAAACTCGGTCAGACGGACTCAGGCGCGGAATCCAGGCGCAGGGTTGGACCTAGTGAGCCACCGAGAGCGACCAGGCGAGCGACCGCAGGGGAGACAGCGGGGGAGCGGTGCTGCGTGTTGACTGTGGTTGCGCATTTGTGCGCAGGTGGACAGGCAAGGGAGTGGGCGGTTGGACCGGGGCCCGGCGGGTCCCAGCGGCAAGCAGCAGTGGAGGGCGCCGCCATTTCCCTGCTCTGACCCCACCTTCACATACAGCGTCACAACCCAGCGACCTGGGAGTCCGAGGCGCTGCTTCTCACACTTAAAGGGAGCGAACAGACCAAAAATGGCGCAAGAAGATCTCAAAGCCCCAGAGCCTATAGATCTAAGCGATGAAGAAATAGCAAAACTCTCAGATGCACAGTTTAAAACACTGGTGATCAGGATCCTCACAGAACTGGTTGATTATAGCCACAAATTAGACAAATATATGAAGGCAAAACTAATTGAAATGAATGGAATTGCACAGGACACCAATAGCAATGAAAAGGAAACTGGGACTCAAATCAATGGAAAGAAAGCAAATAATGGCCAAACAGAAAAGAGTCAAGAAGCAAGAATTCAAAAAAATGAGGAGAGTCTTAGGAACCTCCAGGACATCTTTAAACGCTCCAACATCCGAATTATAGGGGTACCGGAAGGGGGAAAGGCACAGCCACCAGTGGAAACCTTATTTGAACAAATAATAAAGGAGAATTTCCCCAATCTGGCAAAGGAAATAGACTTCCAGGAAATCCAGGAAGCTCAGAGAGTCCTAAAGAAGTTGGACCCAAGAAGGAACACACCAAGGCACATCATAATTACATTAGCCAAAATTAAAATAAAGGAGAGAATCCTAGAAGCAGCAAGAGATAAGGGGACAGTCACCTACAAAGGAGTCCCCATCAGACTGTCAGCTGATTTCTCAAAAGGGACCTTACAGGCAAGAAGGGGCTGGAAAGAGGTATTCCAAGTCATGAAATCCAAAGACCTACAACCAAGATTGCTCTATCCAGCAAAGTTTTCATTTAGAATGGAAGGGCAGATAAAGTGCTTCTCAGATAGGATCAAATTCAAGGAGTTCATCATCACCAAGCCCTTATTATATGAAATGTTAAAGGGACTTACCTAAGAAAAAGAAGGTAAAAAAGATGAACAGTGAAAGGACAGCAAACTCACAGTTATTAAGAACCACACCTAAAACAAAAACAAACTAAGAGGACATCTAGATCAGGAGCGGAACCATAGAAATGAAGATCACATGGAGGGTTAGCAACAGGGGAGTGGGAGGAGGAGAAGGGGGGAGAAGGTACAGAAAATAGCATAGATAGTAGGTAGAAAACAGATAGGGGGAGGGCAAGAATAGTAGGGGAAATATAGAATCTAAAGAACTTGAGACATGTGGTCATAAACTAAAGGGGGGAATGGTGGGGGAGTGGGTGTGCAGAGTGGAGGGGAATGAAGGGGGGAATAGAACAACTGTAATGGCATAATCAAAATATATTTTAAAAAGATTAAAAAAAAAAAGAATTAGGGGCAATGAGCCCAAGTATATAACCTTGGACCAGTTTGGAAAGATGCCAAGGACTGAGCCAAATGCTTCAGATGCATGAAACTCCTTCGGCCAGATGAGGTTATTAACTCTCTTGTACTGAAGAAAAAAGGAGGCCTAGAGAAGTTAAGCCACTGCCCAAAATCTCTCACCCTAGTAAGTGATAATGCAGGTGCCTGACTCTTAAGTCTATACGCTTAACCGTACTATTCAATATTACTTCTCTAAGTGATGTCACAGACCCTCCCATGTAACGGTGGTCCTGGGCACAACTTCATAAGAGGCATTCTTGAGATGTGTGCATCCTCTAAAAGCCTAAGGTGAGCTTTCTTCTAAGACAACACCTTCCTGACCCCACTGCATGCCGAGACCAAACTTTCAAGGCAAAAGAGGAGAGCCTTCGGACACCAACAGGGCGCACACAGAGCTGGTAACCAGGGCTGGGGAGGAAAGGACAGTGGCTTTTCCAGGTCAGAAGGCCCAATGTGAAAGGGCCTAAGAGTCCCCTGGCCAGCGTGTCAACAACGCTTCCCAACTAGGCCCTCATGCACGCGCCCCGGGAGTCCCAGGGGTCCAAAAGTACCACAATGAACTCATTCGGACCTTTGTCCCCATTATTCTCTTTATTCCAAAACAGACTTTTTACAGACTTCAACTGTTCCAATGCAACATTAGGGTAAGTCAGAAGTATTCACAGCGTCCTGCTAGGGCGTCCTGCTGAGGAACAGACTGTCTGGCCCCTCCGGCTCTGTGTGGGCAACAGAAAAACAAGCACAGTGTAACCACAGTGTCAACTTGCTTCTTCATAAACACAGTAATTTTTTCATTCCCCCTTTCAAACAAAATTGTTCTTGACTCCTCTTCTTGACATTTGTTTTGGGTTTTAGACTTTCCTTTCTTCTGGGACTAATGCGCTGTTCTGAAAGAAATCAGAAACAAACACAAAATTACTGAAGGGTTCAACTCACCATCACAGTTCCTAACTGGTCAACGGAGAGGCCAAGGTATTCTCCCACTATAAGATCCCACTGATAAAGGAATAACCCTTTTTCTATTAATTCTATTTATCTATGCCCCATCTCATTTCACAAGCCTGGAAGACAGCTAAACTAAAGCTGATGACAACTTCAATAAAAACAATGCAACAAACCTGACGATGACTAAGAAAGCAAGTGGGGGGTGAAAATGGAAGGAGATGAGGTCATCCGGGCACACCTCCCACAGTGCGAGGCTGGAAAGGCAGTGTCAGTTTTGAGCAGGTGAACAGACAGGACGGTGTCAAGAACGTGCATCTTCAATCTCCCAGACCCCAGGTCTGCCAGCCCACACCTGGCCCTCGTGTCACTTAGAAGACGGTGTCCTGATCACTGAGCACAGAAACCTGCGCGCACTCACCTTCTTGCCAGTGGTCAGAATCTGCGTCTAAACCTCGGTAAGAATGATTCTCGAAAATGGGACACAGAAAAATTTTAAGGGCGGAAAAAACAACACCACTAGATCTCTTTGCTCCTTCTTTCCCAAAGCTGCCTGTCCCTGGACTCTGAGAAGTAATGGGGAAACGTGAGAGCGAAGACGACAAGCCCGACACGGCAACCAGGAGGGCGCGGGCAGCAAGTTCATGCTCGGGTGGCCCCGGCGCACACAGGCAGGCGGCCGGAGGTGACCCGGCCTTGCAGAATGGCCGGCTCCAGTCCTCTTCGACAGGTGCGAGGGGCACGCCCAGGCCCAGAACTAGTCCTGAGGGCTGGAGTGAGGGCCCCTCGTCCCCTACCAACACTCGGAGGTTCCCAGCTTCCTTAAAACGTGAGTCCCAAATGTTCACACGGAGAAGAGAGCCTGAACCCGAAACAGGAACAGCTGGGGGCAGCGGCCCACAAGCCTCCATCTTGGCTAGGAAGTCACACCTGATCCGACCAATGTCTGTCCTCACACCAAAACCACCTTCAAAATCCCAGGTCCCAACTTCAGAAAGTCCTAACACCCGAATAATCAAGGGACTTCCCTCTCTATCAAGCAGTATGATTTGGGGGTAACCGGGTGGGGCAGACCATCTAAAAATCGAGAAAAACAAAATCAATCCTTAGTCAGTGTAAAGAATTAAAGAGCTCAGTGTTTAGCAGAAAGGACCAGTTCCGAAAGCAAATCGGACAGAGCAAGTATAATTTAGGACAAAACCGGAAACAGCCAGGGAATGAGGGTGGTGAGGAGGGACTAAGAAGGGGCACAGGGGCACTTTTGGGGGTGTGGAAATTGTCTGTATCTCAACTGAGATGGTATTTACTGTGTTAGTTTGTCAAGAATCACAAAATTGTACACTAAAAAGGATGGATGTTACTGTATATAAATTAAACCTACCCCCCCGCCCCCGCCCAAGCCAAATGTAGTCTTCTGTGCTGAGGACTAGACGTCCCCATTTATGCCCATACATCAGTGAAAGGCTCTCCAGTCTAGGCTTTTGTTGATTTTTCTTATTTCGGAGGATTGAAAACTGGATGGCTTCACTGCTTTGGCAGGGAGAGCCATTTCCACAGCAAGGGATGAGAGGGAACATGACTAGAAAATTCAAATACTTCCCTCCTCTTTTTAAAAAAGACTTCATGTATTTATTTCTCGAGAGAGGGGAAGGGAGGGAGAAAGAGGAGAGAAACATCAACGTAAGAAACGTTGACTGGTTGTCTCTTGAATACCCCCGGCTGGGGACCCGGGCCCCAACCGAGGAATGTGCCTGACCAGGAACTGAACCAGCAACCTTTTAGTTTGCAGGCTGGCTGGAGCTCAACCCATTGAGCCCCATCAGTCAGGGCGCTCCCTCGTCTCTGTTGGTCTAATACAGAAGTCAGCGAACTATGCACCACAGGCCAAATCCAGCCCACCGCCTGCTTCCTTGAGTGAAGTTTTATCGGCACACAGCCATGCTTGTTTGTGTTCACGGTCTGTGGTGTTCTCGCATCGCGGCGGCCGAGTTGAGCAGTTCTAACAGAGACTGTACGGCCTGCGAAGCCTAAAGTGCTCTCTGGCTCTTTGCAGAAAACTTTTGCCAACCCCTGCTCTAGAGGAGCTGATCAGTGAAGCATCAGACACTCTCTCCTTCCCTCCCTTCACCTCGCTTCCACGTCCGTCCTCGTCCTAGAGCTAATACCTGCACGGAGAATGGGTGATTTTCCACACATTTCAGTCACATGGAGAGCAGCCCTGATCCACACCCTAAGCTCCAGGAACCTGGGTTCTGATACCGGTTTTGCTCTGTGGCCACCCAGTCCATAATTTAGTCTCACCAAACCGCACTGTTTGGCCCAACCAAAAATCAGTGTTACAAAAAGGCCTAGAAACAGTGACAAGGTGTGCCAGGATTTGTCATCAGACCACCATGTAATGAATTTAGATGTTCCCGATGGGGTTCCCTTTTAAGAAGTCCAAGGCTGGGCCTGTCTTACCCTCATCTCTGTTCATCTATAAATATAGAGAGAGGGGCTTCTGTCTAAAAAGTACCCCTTGGGATGTAAGGGAGGATGGAGTCACATAGTGTAAGCTGGGTCAAGGCCGCTCTGCTGCGAAGTCCCCCCGGCAGCTGGGCTAAGTCAAGGGGCTTGGGCTTTTGCCTGAGGCCTGTCACCACCTGGACCAGGAAGTGGGAAAACCGCCTCCAAGTTCATCTCTGGCCGGGGGAGGAGTGGGGAGGGACGAGTGGGCTGCCACTCGGTAAGTAACTGACATGCATGAGGCAGGCAAGATGGGGAGGGGGCCCTGCTTCTGGGATGAGACCGCCCTTCGTCGTTACCGTAATGTCCTATATTTTGCCAATCTACTGCTCTGCTCTGCAGCGATCCTGCCAAAGGAAAGAAGGATTGAGAATCAAGAAAGGACAGTGAGAAGAGAAATAAGGTGGGGAAAGAAATGGCGAACACCCAACCAGAGCTTCCGTTAGGATCACCGACTTTCCCAGTGGCAGCACTGGTTCCGGCATTCACACAGAGGGCAGCGTAAGACTGGGCTTGACCTTTCTGCACGGGATGTGTGCAGGGGGAAGGGAGGAGATGAAAATCATGGTCTCTTTCCCCAGAAAGCAAACACAATTCTAGGATTGCAGATTAGGAATTCATGACAAGCAGGATTTAAATGAAATGTTTTCCACCCTTGTCTCCCCTTGATTTTGTTCGTCTTGTGTGGGCAACTCTGGAAAAGAGAGAGCTCAGAAGGGCATGGCCTTTGGCTCCCTGGGGCCTAGACTGGTTGCTGCAAGGGAACAGGGCTGTGCTTAGAAGAAACAGCCGAGGCCCTGGCCCTTTCTCAGATGCAATGCAGAGCTGCCAAGGTGAGGCTGCTGGAGGGGCAGCAGAATGAACCAGCTGCCACTGCCGGTGCTAAGGGAAGCTCTGGTGGAACCTGAATTACTACTGGGAAGTCCAGGAGCTCGTCGGGGCTGGGTCTCCTCAGTGAGGCACTCAGAAAGCTTACAAGGGAGACCCGAGCAGGGCAGGGAGGATTAAGTGTGGCTCTCCCGCCCACTAAGATCTCTGAGGAAGAGTCTCCCAGTTCTGACCAACTTAATCCGCAGCCTTGCTGGAGGGCACATTCTGAATTACATTCTCCCTGCAAAGGTCCTAGAGAGAGAAAGCAGGGCACGTCTGAAAATGCTAACTTCCAAAGGTGAAAGCAAACCTGACCTTTTCTTACTGACCTTTACGTGGCTGAAATCACCCAAGTCAAATCAATAACAAACACTTGAGACATATAAATTTGCCTCTAATCCAGGTTTAAGAGTCAAGCTGCCATCACACGGAGATCTTATCACTGTGTGAACCTAAGATCAAGACTGTCTGGTTCTCGGGCACGTGGCACCACCTGCTGAGCAGGGCAGCAGTTTCTGGGGAAAGTGCGTGGACCTCACGCTCAGGAGGAAAAGCCCCGGGAGCCTGTCGGAGGTTACAGAGGAGAAACTCCCCAGGGCAGGGAAAGGGGCAGGGCTCTCTGCGGCAGCAGAACATTTCCATACAGCCAGCACACTGAGGATGATCTTCTAACACGCTCTAATCCATTTTAATCTTCATAAAGTAGTTACATTCCTCTCTTGTTCTAATGTGGTTTTAAAACATTTAAAGCTGACTGCTGAGACCCTTTTCTGGCTCAAAGAGGCTTCTGCATCGGGCTGGACTAACGTGTCACACATGGCCCTAAGGACACGAGTCTTTTTGCCATGCACCCTCATTCAGAGAGTTGGGGGAGCACAGCTGACACCAATATTCCTAATCCCACCCCGGGGCCGTGGCCCACCCCTGGCCTTACCTTTTGATCGCCTGATGGGCCAGCATCCGATTGCCAGCCAGAAACGTCACACTGCCCAAGATAGCCAGGTACTTCAGGGTCTGGAACATGTTGAGCTGAGTCCAGTAGATGTACATGAGCCCCAGCATAGCTACAAAAGAGCGCCACGATGGCCGATCGAGTGAACAGTGACAACACGCTGGGGTAGAGGACAGCAGGCAGCAGTAACTGCTGGATCCTAAAAACGCCTGCCATTTCTAGACCAGCTTGTTCTATTCCTTTTATCCGACACTGAAGTACAGGTAACCCAATATGCTCGCCTCTAAGCCTTGGCTACCAAGAAATCCAGAGAAAAGCCAGCCAGACCTCAGCTGCCCTTTATCTGCAGGTTTTTTTTTAATTTTGTTTTTTTTTTAAAACATTACTGTTACATTTTGGATTCATTTTACTTCTCAAATTCTGAATAAAAGTATATGGGATTAAGTAATTTCCTTTTATAAAAAGAATTTAGGGATAACTGGCCACTGTGACCAGGAGGGAAGCGAGGGGGACTGAGAAGAGAGGCTACTGAGAAGGGCTCCGGCCTCTGGGCACTGACAGCCCAGGGTTCTGGTCCAGGCTCTGCCCTTCTGGCCGCTTATTTTCTCTGAGCCTAAATTCTCTCATCCGTCACACACGGGTCATACCTCCTGGCCCAATCGCCCCCACGAGGACTCGATGAGAATCAAACAGGGGACGCACACACAGAGCACTCCAGCAAGAAAAGTCCTGGCTGCGAACACATTCATCTCAGGGTTTGTTCTCGGCCTGACCCAAGAGGGCTACCACTCAAATCCAGGAACTGGGCTAAAGAGAAAGGTCATCCTGTCGACTGTGCCCAGAAGGAAGACAGATGAACTTCAGCGGGGGTTCCTACCCATTTTCAAGGTCGTGGGCCTCTGTGAGAATCTGATCAAAGCTACAGACCCGATCTTTCCCCAGAAAGAAACAGACACACATTTGCCTGTAATTTCAAGGGATTCATCTACAGCCCCCTACAGAAGTCACACACTTTGGACACAAGAGGGTGACTCCTGCAAGAGTCAAGGAAATGAGAAAAGAATATTGAAGACTTAGTGAAATGCAAGGCACCACTGATCCAATGGTGTCCAAAGTCTCTGAAAGGCTTAGCTGATTTGCAAATGGACTGTGTTGTTACATTTAGGTCCTGAGTGCTCAAGAGAACAATGCGGGACAGTGTGTCTGACTGGGGAAACAACTGTTTTCTATTACTGCCCAGATACAGCCGCCAGCAAATGTGAAGATCGATATGGTGGGCAAAGATAATCTTTGGAAACTGCATTAATGCTCTTCATCCAGGAAGATGGTTCAATGTAAAGCTACAGTAAGTGAGTAATCTCTGGAAATGAACAGGGCTATTAAATGAGGGTAAATGGCCTGCCAACAGTAGCCTAGTACAATGAAACCCAATCTAATGACAGCTGTTCTAAGCTGACAGCCCAAACAGGTTTATCATCGTATTAACTGTCCTAAAAGGCCAGGAGGAAGAGGGAAATGTTATACTATTAAGTCATTACAGTTAATAGGTTGTGGGTCTACTTTACAGGGTGTTTGCGTGGGCAGGCTAAATGTCAGAGGAGGTTAAATGGAATTAGCAGCCAGGAGTGCTTACCAGCGTGTCCCAGGTGAAAGATTATCGTGCTAGGAGCAAAAGTGAAGTTGGAGACATTGGCACCAATCCGGATCCACTAAATGATGGGGAGAAATAAATTAAGAAGACATTAGAACTTAAAATGGAGGCAACACATGGCAAGTCAACGCTAGTCCCATGAACAGCCCTAAGGGCTTAAAAGTTCACGCATATTTGATGGACTGGGAATTTTTCCAAGCAACAACTACTCTAAGTCCAAAAATTGTTCCCTATTTTCTTTAGAAAGGTATTCCAACACCTGCTCTCAAATGTGGTTGGGTAACTCGAACCCGATCATCATTTTTAATTATAGCAAAAATTCTTATTTTAAAACAGGTGGACCCATGAAGCCGAAGGGTCAGAAAGTGTGGAGTTAACCGGCACCCCTGCTGGTTTCTCTACGTATTGGTAAGATACACCTGCCCACAGCTGGGAGGATGCATGCTCTTTCTGTGGGTTCCGGGCCTTTTGAAAATTCTGATCACTCAAACAGGTGTCCGTACCCTAGGGTCTGATTTCTGGAAGCTTGCTGCATGCCTTTCTTTCAGATTTGGACTGACCAGGAATTCTTTTACTAAAATCAATGAATGAATTAGGAACATAGGCAATTTTCTAAAAGTAAAATCTCATGAGTTTTCCAAATTCTATGAACTTTAATGATATACATCTGTTTACAATTTTTAAAGAGAAAAAATCACTTGGTAAAAAAAAATTCAAAAAACATTAAAAAATCACTTGGTAAAAAAAACATTCAAAGTACTTTAAAATATAAAAGGTAGAATGTTCCTTTCTCATACTCCTTAGAAAGTCCTCCCCGCAGAGATGACCAGCACTAATAAATAACGCCTTTTCAAGGTTTTCACAGAGAGATGATCGCACTAAACATACTATTCTACCCCTTGTCTTTGTCACTCAGTAAGACACCCTGGCAGTCTTGTCATATCAGCACATAAACCTATCCACTCCTTTTTTTTTTTTTAGATTTTTAAATGTATTTATCTTTAGAGGAGAAGGGAAGGAGAGAGGGAGAGAAATATTAATCTATGGTTGCCTCTCATGTGTCCCCTCCTGGGAACTGGCCTGCAACCCAGGCATGTGCCCTGACTGGGAATCAAACTGCAATCCTTTGGTTCGCAGACCCATGCTCAATTCACTGAGCTACACCAGCCAGGGCCTATCCGTTCTTTTAATAAACTATGTAATATTTCATTGTTTGGATATACAGTAACTTGCTTTTATGAGGACTCCGAATGGCACTGACATGCAGAGTCTCTGTACTCTATTTTTATGCAGCTACAGCAATCAGGCCTTGGTTTTTTCATACTCATCTGACACTCCTACAGAAAGCATCCCAGTTCATATACCTTTACCATTTTTAATGGCCAGCAAGTACTTTCTCATGCCCCTTGTTAATGGAGTAGTTTATCTGGCTGCTCCCGATAGTGGGGAATTCTAGTTATTCTAAAACTTTCTGCCCATCAGTGCAGGTCACAGCTGCGGGACCCCTCTGGAGCTGTGCTGAGGCCAGAGCACAAAGCCTCCTTTGGAGCAGCTACATCTGCTGACTCTGGCGCCGGACACACGCTGCCCATGCTAATTAGAGCTACTCACCAGAGCAAAGAGCAGGAGCAAGGGAGAGAGGATCAGGGCGGTGAATGTATTAGACACCACTGTGGGGGGCCTCTTCTCAGGCTCACGAAACAGGTGCTGCCAACAGAAGTCACACAAAGAGTATTTAAGAACATGCCCTTCCCAGAAGGGGCTGCCATGATGACCAGGGACCAAAATGCCAGTAACAGTCAACATGAAGAACTGTCTCCCAGATGCTAAAAGCCCTTGACAATGCGTGGTCACCTAGCCTCTTGCTCTTCTCAGTGCTGGCTTCTGATCCCAGAGGTCTCCTTTCAAAGACACTACGCTAGTCCCAGCTCACTACCCAGCCGACCCGCTTTACCCCTTCAGACTCACTGCCATTTAGAGGTTGGGGATAGGCAATCCATCAAGCGGCATTCGCCAGGATCAAAGGGGGTGCCCAGGTGTGCGGATGGCCCGAGTGACACATCCAAGGCAGGACTCTGGGATTTCATAATGCTTCTGGGTTCCTGGGGTGGCACCGTCTATCACACTTGCTCTCTCACCCAAGTCAGCTAACTGGGGTTAACCTCACTCTCTTTAACAGAGGCCTACCACTGTAGCCTTTGGATCTTTTTATTTTAAGACTTTATTTTTTTTAGAGAGGGGAAAAGAGGGAGGAAGAGGAGGAGAGAAACATCAGTGTGTGGTTGCCTCTCTCACGCCACTAATTGGGGACCTGGCCCACAACCCAGGCATTTGCCCTGACTAGGGATTGAACCGGTGATCCTCTGGTTTGCAGGCCTGTGCTCAATCCACTGAGCTACATCAGCCAGGGCAGCCTTTGCCCTTTTTTGAACGGTGAAATAAGAGTAAGTAGTCTGCTTAAAACACGTCAACATTAATTCAGATGTAGTAAATTCCACATTACTACAGTAACATTTTTTCTCATGAATGCAAAATAATTCACTGGATGTATCCACCTCAGTTTTCTTAACCAAAAAAGTGTTTAACACTTTTGTAAAAGTGTTTATTTTGTAAAGTGCTTTAGAAACTTTTCAATGCCTTTCTTAATCCTTGTCCATGACCTACTCTGATCCTCATGGCAATCTTGTGGGCTGGGCTGGGCAGGAATGGCTAGTATTTGTGTGCAGGGAAGGTGAATCCCATAAGAGGAAGGACTCACCTTGGGGAGGAAAGCCCTGCCATCCCAGGTGAGTGTTCCACCTCTTGGCCCCATCAGCCCTGATTTTGCAGGAACAGAGAGAAAGAAAGCCAAACCCAGCTTTGCTGTGGCTATTCAAAGCAGTGATCTCAGAGCTGTGCCTCCCGATGTTTAGGAAAAACAGACTCGGGTTCTGAGGTTGTCTCCAATTATCTGCTTTCTGGAAGCTGGTCAATGGGCTCTCTGGGCCTATTTTCTCAGCTCTAGGATATTTGCTCTGCCTAATTTACAGGGTGGTGAGGGCCAAAGTATAAAGCACTATACAAAGAGAATTAAGAAGGGACCAGAGTGCCACCATCCAGGGGTCTGTTGTCCTGTCATTGTGTCCATTTCACATTCCTTCTCCATGCTTAGTGGAGAAGCCCCTTAAAATATACCTGAATTTTGGCAGCGTGGGTGGTTCAGTGGTTAAATATACCTGAATTTCCTGTTTTGGGGTAAAAAGGTTCTTCGACTGAACAGTGGATGGAGCATCTTCCTCAGGGAACTTGATGACCACATCAGCCTGAAAAGTTAAGAGCAGTCTTTAAAGGCACAGGGGCAGAGAAGGGAATAAGACTTGTCAGCGTGACAGCACCCCTACCCACACCTAGGACCATAAGTGAAAAAAGCTCCAAGCAGCCTAACCACTTCCGATCTATTAGTTGACAAATTGAGGCAGTAAAAATTTCAAGAACGAAATAAGTATTTGTTGAAAATGCTTTTTAGACTAAGAGTTCCAATTTTCAACTGGCCTGGTGAGCCCCACAGAGCTGCTTTAATACAAAACCCTCAGCCGGTACTCAAGCTGTTACAGCTGCAATCGGAAAACACTCTGTCCCTGGGAAGTGTGGTTTAGCAACAGAAAAAAAGAAAAAATGACAATGTACTCTCATGCAAAAAGCAGCCCAAAGTCCAGGAGAAGAAAGGGAGTTCTGAATACAACACAAGAAACGCAGCTGGCCCTGCGTCTTGCAGAGGGTGCCAACCACCACTGCGATTTGGCCACTGCTCCCTTTCCAACCTCCTCGCCTGCTGCTGCTGACCAGACTCATCAGGTGCACCAGTGAATCGGGCACCTCGCGCTGCACTGAATGCACATCGGGCTGTTCTGCAGGCCGTTCCTCGGTGATCACCCCCGCCCCATACACCACTCTGATAAACCCTTGCAATTCTTCAACCCCTAGCTCTAATGCCATGTCTTTCAAGAAATTTTCTCTCGTCACACCAATCAAAGGTGAGATATGTGGGTGACAAGCACTATGTAAACTACAACATGATATGCAAATGTTATTATTACTTTATTAGCATTTTGCATATCCTACAATTCACTGTCCCACACCATCCTGAATTACTGGAATTCAACCCCTCCCCAACCCCACGAGGCTATACTGTATCTCAAAGGCCACAGCCTTTATCTATGCATCCCCTGTAATGTTTTGATGTAATATGAAAACCTTCTTCCAGTATAACTTTTCTAGAAATTTGTAAGCACCTATGAAGGCAAATGTACACACTTCATTCATTCATGCATTCAATCAATCAGTATTTACTAAGCACCTACTATATGCCAGGCCATGTGCATCCCCTAAGACTCCTAACAGTGACAGCACACGGCCCCTCACCACCTCACCGGGAGTGTTTGCTGCCCCATGGAAAGCAGTGGCAAGGCTAGGGTAAAGAGCCCAGACCCCTGAAGGGGGCTGTCTGGGTCTGACTGTGGCCTTGTCACTCTAGTCTGGGTCAAGGTGCATTTAGGCACATACCACGTTCCACAGGATTGGGTTCTTCAAAGTGGCATCTCCGATGATCAAGTAGAGAGTGTAGGTGCCGGATGCAGAGTCAAATTCGATCTTTCTCTCGGAAGTATCCAACTCAAACTTGTATACATTCTTGCTGTCTGGCTCAGCAACAAACACCACTTCCTGGCCAGTCTTCTGGTTATGAAGTCGGACAAATGTCTGGATGGAACAATAATATTGTGTTTCATCTAGTAATTTCAGAACTCTCTCTGGGCTCAATATAGTCAATAAGGCTGTAGACTGTTGGCTCCTTCACCATGGTAGGAGCTCAGGGCTCTGCTAGAGCTGCCTGACAGAGCGCAAGGAGTGGCCATTCTACCCTGGTTCGTTCATAGCTCAGGGAGCAGAGATAACTTTTGCTAGTATGAGAAATTTAACTTAGAGATGCAGCCAATTCTCAACTACTTGGAGGCTGAACGCCCAGTTTGTGGATGATTTAAGTCCTTTGCTGTTGTTGCAATTTCTTCTTCCTGCCAGCCTTTTGGCCACTTCACTGCCCAATTAACTTCTTCACCAGAGGGTAAGAAGAAGGGAAATGAGGTGGAACTGTAAGAGGCCCCTTTTCAATTTCCTAGTGCCTCCAGCTAAAGATTTAGTAGAGCAGGCTTGGGAGATTGATAGCAAGGCAGCGCTCTAATCAAGCAGAGCAGCCTGGTGCCACCGAGAACACCCAGGCTCTGAAGACAGACAGATTTGGTTCCACTACTTATTAGCTGGACAAGTTACTTAACCTCTTTGTGCCTTGATTTCTTCATCTTTAAGATAAAAAGATTAAATTCAACATGTAGTGTAAAGATTCCTCATAATGCAGGCAAAGCATTTAGCCCAGGACAGGACCTGGTATTGAGCTAGTCAATAAAGAGTAGCCGATATTGTCAATACGATGGGACCAGTCTATTCACCTTATCCCCCAATGACATAAGAAACAAAGGTTTCTGCACATTAGAACTACAGCAAAATGACATCCACTCAGAGCTCTTTGAAGGGTTTCAAAATAAAGAATTCAACAAGGCAGGTATATGGTTCCATTTTACAGATCACAAGGTGTGTGGACTGAATGAGTTACATGGTCACACAGCCAGTGCTGGATCCACAGAGAAAAACATAAATCTCATCTGTTACTCTACACCTGGGCAACAAAAACCCATCAAAGTATTTAGGGAAAGGGGTCTAGAGACGTGAAGCATCCTGACTACAGAGCCCTGGCCAAGAATGGGATTTAGCAGCCCGGATGGCCTGATCTTCCTCCTGTCACAGCCAAGCACAGGTGACAGCCAGCTCATCTGCAAATCGCCATCTCTACCTGGGAGGTCTCTAAGCCATGGTTTCCATAACAGAATCTTGGATGAAGCAAGTAATCAGTTAAAGCTACGTTTCCTCACTAACTCTAACCCAAACCCAAAGCTCCCCAATTTAGTTTTATAACTTCTTGTCTTTGCATTTTTTCTTCTCTTGCGCTGTATGGTTGGTAAATGTCATTCTGAGATGAGACACAAAATGCTGAGAGGCTGAAGTGCTTAAAGCTGGAGAGCCATGGCCCTAACCGAGCGCACCAAGCAAGCTCTTTGGAGCTCGGGGTGGAAGGGAGAGAGGAACAGAGAAGCTCCAGAACGGTGGTTAGGCATCCACTCTGGGCCTGGGCATAAGCGCAGCTGCTGCAGCTACAAGAAATGAAAAGCAAAAGATGTCCAAGTAAATTCACCCACCTCAGAGGTCTGCTATGAAGCCGCTCCTTAAGCAGGAACACAGGTCTGCCAGCTCTTGCTAAAGTATTGCTACAAAGCACCTAGAGCAAGGTTCCTCGGTCCTAGTCTCTCCTGTCTTTCAGCGTTCAGAGTACTTATCTGAATTTCCCTTTACAATACAACCATGGATGGGGCAGAGCTGAGAGCAGTTAATTCCAATCAAGGGGGACGACACGGGTGAGGGAGAATTGTGCATGAAAGGACACAAGACCCTATCAGAGTTTCTGGGGAAAGGGCCTGGTTTAAAAATCTTTTAAAGAATAATTAAAGGAAGCCTATTGTTTTCATAATATGAAGTAGGCACAAGCTAAAAAGAGAACAAACAGAAAATCTGCTTTGACCAGGACAAAAACATGCCTTGGGTCTGCTGCCTAGGTTTTTCCTTTTTTCAAAATTATTTTAATGTCTAATATTTGGTGTTTTTGTTTCTTTCATGAAGGAAGGGGAAAAATCCTCAATTAAGTGCTAATCTTTGAAAAAGAAGAGTGTACTCCAGGTTCAGGGTTACAACCAGTAACCGAGACAGGGCTGTCAGGCAGGAGAACCCAATGGACCGTCGGGATTCAGAGGGAAGGTCTGAAAGCAGGGATTTGGAATTCTCTCTAGTCAGTTATCTACAGATCAACAACTCAAGTGCACTGTAATGTTTCAAGCCAACAGAATGTCTGAGCTTTTTCCTGACCTGGTGAGGTGTGAGCTCGGCACCCGTGTTCACGTCCACCAGCTGGAAGAACAGAGCAAAGTTCTGGTGGCTATCTGCGATGAATGTGCCCTTGGCCTTGGCTGGGTAGGTCACCCTGAAAGACACATGTATAAGGTAAATCTTCAGAAAGGACCTGCATATGTCTAAGAATAAAGTGAAAAACACAAACTTCATTGCTTAATCTTCCCTCTTTCATTGTAACACTGTTCTGTTGTGGACAGATTGAAATAGAAAATCGTCTGTGGCCAGAGGCAACTTGGATCCATAAAGCTGGGACTGAGAAAAGCACATAGTCTTTAGCAGTGTCTGGGGGAAACGTTGTATGTAGATGCTCCAGGCTTTTACTTCCAGGACCTAAGAATGTCAAGTCAACCAAGTCAGGAACCAGTGGGGCTCACGTGTTCCCCTGCAGGCATGCAGGTGGACTGAAGAGCTGAGCAGCAAAACCACACAGAGAAATACGCACAGGATCAGCGTCAGCCGCACGTGTGAGCAGGTTGGGAGACGAGGGGGTAGGAGATGCAGAGAAAAGAAGGGTCCTTATAGCTTTTTCTTTTCTTTTCTTTTTTAAAAATGCTATATTTTTCCCAGATACTGTTTCAATTTATTTTCCTCTCTGAAATTGAATTTTAAAAAGTCGTTTTCTCAAAAGGCCATCTTAATGAGAAAACTGTTCTTTTCACAGCTATTTCCTGGGATTTTAGGTTAAAATGGCCAGGGGACAGAACAAGCCATATGGTTACAGAGCTCACAACTGGCTCTATTATGTATTTAGGCTCCATATTTACTTATGAATGATACCAACTCCTCATCTACATAGAGCATTAAACTTTGCAAACCACTTGCACAGACATTATTGCAGAATCCACTGCAATCAAGCTGCAATCTCCAGTGTCACTATGAAAATATCCAAGCCAGAGGCAGAAGGCTGAGCCCTGTCACAGGACATAGAAGTGAACACTTCCCTTCCAGGCTCTAGCTAGTAACATCCCAAATGGCCTTGGGGGTTCACCTACTTTCTTTGACACATATAGCCACCCCAGTTGAGTCCAGCTGGGGGTTTGACTATACTGAGAGGTATAGATGGGTCCCCAAAATAAGGATCTAGGAGAGGGCTGACAAATGGGCCTCATACAGTGTTCTGGTCCAACTCCGATAAGTTGCTAATGGTTACTTAGAAGGTTGTGTTAAAAAGGAACAAATGCTATGGCAGATGGATGATACCTTCTATGAACTGGAGAAAGGGAACTGTAGCCCTAATGCTAGATGTCTGCCATCTCAGTTCTCAGGACCTATGAGGCTTCCAACTTTTTGTAGCCATGTGTGGGTCAGAGAGTTGCCATGAGGCCACTAACAGCAACTTCAGGACTATGCAGATACACATTGCACCAGAACATAAATTAATACACTGCTCCCTTCACTGAAAAAGTCCTTGAAAAAACTGTCATCGGAATTAAATAATGTGCTTGGTGACATAGCTCACTGACTCGAACTTACACTCTGAAATAAGCTCTTTATCTCATGGGCTGGTTTGCCCAAACTGACCACTGGTATAGACATCCCCCCAAACTGCTTGGATGCCATGCAGCATCCCTGGTGGTGTGAGCTGGATCACTGCAGACACAGAAAGGGTACCTAGAGGGGCTCGACTCAAGCCTGACTCCACGTCCAGCAGGCATCCCACCTACCGTGTGGTTTTGGGGGCAATGCTCTGATCCTTATCCACAGTGGAGAGATCAACATTGGTGATGCCAACTTCAGTTGAGATCTTGACTTTGAGCTAAAGTGAAACAAAAGGAAATCTCCAAGTCAACTGGTAGATGTGCCAGGAATTAATACACATACCCAAATTTTTCTCTTAAAGGTGAGTGGAGGCATGAAAAACTCCTAAGATAGGAAATTTTCAATGATTTTAGTAAAACTGACCCAATCAGGCAGTATTTCCACCTCTCCCATCCTGAGGCCCAAAAGTAACTCCTTGATTATTATCCCTTCTTCGGCTTTGGTTGGACCATGTATGTTTAAAAGGAAAAAAGTAAGGGGAAAAAATGGATTTTTTTCTTCTGTCCTTTAAAATAAATAAGGGGAAAAATCCTTAAGCAGTACTTCACATAACTTAAATCAAAATCAGTAAGTACTCAAATGTAATGACAACGAATGTTTATTGAGCATTGAAAGACAATGACTTTACAAAAACTACCTCATTTAATCCTCACAAGTCTGTATGGTAGTGCTATTTCAGGTGAAGAAAGTTGAGTCCATGTACATAGGCACCTTGCTACCCACCTTCCCAGAGACACTTACTCTGTGCCAAGCAGACGAAGTCTGCCCATGAAGACCTACGACACACTAAGACAGTGTCTGTACCATGCACCACGTACTTCTGGTTCTCCTAAGCATGTGACAGAATTGTACTTCCCTGTTCCCCTGGAGTCAAGTGTAGCCACGTGACTTGCTCTGTCCAGTGAAAAGTGTCACTTTCAAGTAAAAGCTTTGAGGTCAGTGTGTGATTCTCTTCTCCTCTGACATGGACAATGTGTAGAGAAAGGGGCTTGCTCCTTAAACCTGGGTCCCAGAGTAAGAAAAACATGAAGCAGAGCTCCCATTTGACAGACCAAAGATACCTAGCATGGGCCAAAAAAACTTTGTTTCAAGGCACTGAAATTTAGAGTCTATTTTAAGCACAGACCAGTCCATCTTGATTCTTCCTATGTTTATATTCTATACATTCTTTATAAACATTTTCCCAAAGAGGAGTTTGTTGATGCCAGTAAACAAATTTTAAAAATCAGATTTAAAATAAGTATAAAATTCTAAGAGACACAAAACATTCTAAAAGTCTGTTCATGGGGAATTTTTACTTTAAGATATAAGTTTGAATGTGCAAATTATGCAAACAAACCCAAGGAACTTTTTATGTGCAAACATCTGTGAGACTCCCAAATATTTGATAAGCTTGAATGTAATACTTAGGGAAATCTTTGCCAAATCCACTGGCTTACAGTCTAAGTCAGGACCAAAGAATAGACAGAGAGCTGGGCAAATAACTGAAGGATAGTTTCAGCATTTTTTTTTTGAGCTCCCCAGGCAGGGCCTGGTTTTCTTCTCTCTTTTGTTTTAGATTCTTTTAAAATTTATTTATCTTTAGAGGGAAAGGGAAGGAGAGAGAGAGAGAGAGAGAGAAACATCAATGTATGGTTGCCTCTCGTATGTCCCCTCCTGGGAAATAGCCGGCAACCCAGGCACGTACCCTGACTGGGAATCGAACCACGATTCTCTGGTTCACAGGCCCACGCTCAATCCACTGAGCTACACCAGCCAGGGCCTAATTTCAGCATCTTTTTAAAAAGATGAATAGTGGAAGGACAGCAAACTCACAGTTATCGACAACCACACCTAAAACAAGAGCAAATTAAGAGGACAGCTAGATCAGGAGTGAACCATAGAAATGAAGGTCACGTGGAGGGTTAGCAACAGGGGAGTGGAAGAAGGAGAAGGTGGGAGAAGGTACAGAGAATAAGTACCATAGATGGTAGATAGAAAATAGATAGGGGGAGGGTAAGAACAGTAGGGGAAATACAGAATCTAAAGAACTTGAGACACATATTCATGAACTAAGGAGGGGAATGGGGGGGGAGGGGTGTGCAGGGTGGAGGGGAACAGAGGGGGAGAATAGAACAAATGTAATGGCATAATCAATAAAAAAATTTTTTTAAATAAAATGTATTATCAAGGTGTGACAGCCTCAAATCAAAGGCAAAGAAAAATTAAAAAGGGATAAAGATGGCTATCAAGTAATTCTTTTTAACAGCTTTCTATTCTGCCACCATAATAACTATTTTGTGACAACAGTCTCAACTATTATCAGGTTGAGTATGGGTGTTCTGTTGTGCTTCAAAAAGAAAAAAACAATCTGAAAAGATTTATTACTGGAAGCTATAAAGATATTATCTCCAACTTTCTGAATACACAGCCACCTATTGGCAGAATTATATTTAGCATCACTGCTTGTCACTGACTCTAGACAACTGGGTGAATTATGGCAGTGGAGGAAAACAGTTAGCCTTCAAGTTGAATAATTCCGCAAGGACAGAGCTGGGAGCCTCCCTTTTGGCTCTTTGGGCTCTATGCTGAGCAAAAAGGTTCACAACTCATACAGGGCTCAAAACAGAGCAGGCTTTGCTACATACAGCTCAACCCAGAGAGGCAATGACACCACTTCCACCTGAAGAAAAACTAAGAGTGGAAAGTTCAAACAGAGAAATAGCCAAAGAGCCCTGACCATGTGGCTCCATTGGTTGGGCATCATTCTGCAAAGCTAAAGACCTCTGGTTCAATTCCTGATCAGGGCACATACACGCCTGGGTTGTGGGTTTAGTCTGCGCAATAGGGGTTTGTGCAAGAGGCAACCAATCAATGTTTCTCTTGCTCTCTGTCTCCCTCCCTTCCTCTCTCTCTAAAAATAAATACGTAAAATATTTTTTTTAAAACAAAGTAGTCAAAGACCTCTGATCAAGCTATTGACTTGTATTTAGCAAGACACCCCCTGAGACCACTTTCCCTACATCCCCCTAGAATATAAGGGGCACCTAGATGCAGGGGATATACAGAGATGGCAAGATGTACTTCCTGTCCTAAAGGGAAGCATATATGCAAAGCTAAATTAAAAGAGATCAGGCTACTGCTTTAATGAGGGATGTGAAAAGTGCTACAAAAGCACAGGAAAATGACTGTGACGCAAGTTGGCCTTGGGGTCTCCCTGGCTAGGGGGTACAAAACGTGCAGCAGGAGGCCTTAGGCAGTCCTCCCGTTTTTGGAGAGGTAGGAGTTTAGCGATACCCCATGCTATTAAATAGTAATAATAATCTGTCTTCATAGTTACTCTGTATTCTTCATCAATACTAATTTTCTCTTCACTCCTGTCATTCATTCTCTTAAAGACTCACTCATTTAATATGTAAATGTGATCTTAAAATCATCATCCCACCTTAAATGTCCATAAATAGAAGAAAAGTTAAAAAAATAATGGTACATGTACACTATGAATTACTGTGGAGCAATTCAAAAGAACAGGTGTCTTATGGACTCCTACATCTGAATACACAACCATCTATTGGCAGAACCATATTTAACATCACTGCCTATCACCAAGTCTAAGCAACTGGGTGAATTATCGTGGGGATGAGGAGAGTGGGAAGGGCCATCAAGTTGAATTGACCCCCAAGGGAAAAACTGGAAGCTTCTACTTTGTGACAAAAGCAAACAAAGCAAAGAATACAACTGCTTACAGAATGCGCCCTTTGTGTCAGTAGGAAAGGCTATGCAGACAGGCACGGTTCATAATGGATTCCCTCTGAGGGATGGACTGAAGGTGTAGAGAAGGCTCTTATATGTCATTATCTATCTTTTGGTACCTCAAAATTTTTAACTACATGTATATTTTACTCTTATTTTTTTTAAGTATGGATTACCCGAGCAATGAGATTTTGTGCTATGTACCTTCTTCTTTATAAACATTTTTGTATAAAAAAGTAGCACCCAATATATATAATTTTAAAAATAATTACTCTTCCTTTCAGCAGATAGACATACACAAACTGATGTCTAAAAATTTGTGTAAGACTCCTCAGGTTTTCATTTAGAATCCTGACTACAAACTTGCAACAATAACATGGTCACTAAGGCTTGCTAATCAAGATTCAATTGTGTTTGCTATAAAAACATCCTAAGCACTCCCGAACAACATAGATACGGGGAATGGCAAGGTGCAGTGAACTCGAGGCATTCTGGGTTTGCTCTCGCCCTAATTCTAAAAGGCCCCCTAAGCTGCAGCTTTCTTTATTGCACAGAAACGCTGCAGGGCTGTCCTTAAATAGGGAACAGCTTAAAACAAGTCCTTCTGCTCCTAAAATCTTATTACAAATAGGTCTCTGAAAACATTTAATAGAAGAGCATTTTTATGCTTTTAAAGCAAACTGAGAAATAAAATCACTGGAATTTTTTTCAAAGCTCTGCTGTAAAGGGTTCAGGGTAGGACCCCTGTTGGTTAGCTGCTTCTTCCTTTAAAGGAACGCTGCAGGGTTAGTTTTCATAATAGCAAAGGGCATTGTTCAGCCACTTTAAATGCAGCTCAGCCTGTTTCGCAGTGAGTCATGCTAAGTCCTTTCTCTGCCTGCACTGCATGCCACATACACCTCAAAAAATGTTTTAACTCCAGGAAATGCAGTCTTTCTGCTGAGTAATAACCCCCTGTTTAGCTCATTACTGTCAAAAATGATGGTGCATTAGAGGCAATTAATGCTAAAGATAGTTCTAAAACCCATGGTCCCCATGACAGGCAATTCCAGTGTCAATGAGTGTTTATTACAGGCCTTCCACACCAAACCTCCTTGAATGTACTCTGGACAATGTCAAGCGTCTCTCAGGAGAGTAAACAGGACCTGCTGAGCCACTCTAAGGTTATAAATGTGACCATTACTGAAATACCATAAAGTTTAACAGGTGCAAGAGGTCACAGCATGCACACACAAAAACACATATATAAAGATCTAACGCAAAGAAGAGAAAGACAGGAGATTGTGTAATGTATACTCCATCACTGTGAAGTAAAAGGGCAGCAAGGGCTTCAATGGGGGCTTATTTCATTGCATGAATAACAGCTATTAACCATTTCTGCTATTTTGTACTTAGATAATTTCCCCAACAACCACAGAAACACTTAAACACCAGACTTGATGTTTGCAGAAAAAGCCAAGCTATTATAGTAATCAAAAACAGCAT